CGATGTATCATTTATATTTCGATCAATTATTTTTCCAATTTGTACATTTTTTCTTTCCTAATTTCTTAAAAATTTATTGTCCGACAATACAATCGTTTATTTCAGTTACTTGAATATTCCCAAATTTTATACGATTAAAATCTTCCTGTTTCGCAGACAAGACACTAGTGTTCTCCACACCGCGTCATTTAATCGCCTTCGTAGAAATTTCCAAAACGATATCTCTCCCCTTTCGTCCGTTCAATCTCGACAATCTCACAGTAATGACAAATGCGTAAATCTGAGAATTGATTTCTCGAGTAAATGAGTGTGTGAATGTCAATCTTTCTAGAGCAAGCCACGTTACGATTTTGGAAAATGATTCTGTTCCTCGAATGGCCACTTATTTTAGATTCAATTGGGACAATTATGCGTTGCAGACTTTTTTCCCCTAATTCGATTACGTCAATGGCTACGTCGATTCATCGTTTCGTTATCGTGGCAAAAGTTAATCGTCGATATTATCGTGTCTGCTGACGACAATCCGTCTCGACGTTTTTCGGCCAGCAGGAGGTCTATTTCCGTCCACCATGATTACATAAGTATCACGAAGGTCTCTCTACCTTTGCTCCAACAGATCTGGCCAACAACCACTTTTCCAACTTTCGTCAACTTTTGTAAAGCCAATAATCGACACGAATCATACGATAAATTTATGAAAAAATATCTTGGACATCTTCATATCCAAACAAATCTTTCGTCTGTGCTCTTTTATTATTACAAACGTGTTCCTTTTTTTTTTCCTTTTTATTGAAAATCATCAACGAATAATTGATCGTAACAAATCGTATTTTTCTTCGCCAAGTAAAACAAATTTTCATATTTTTTTCATATTTCACAAATACGTATCATATTTCGTACCACGTACAATCACGAGAGAGTCGCCGAAAGAAAAAATTTATTTTCGCGTTATCCTTCCTCCTTCCTATATTTCATTGGAAAGAAATCATTACCAGGGTTATCCGATTAATGGTGTATGCCGTTATCGGCCGCGAATTATCGCGCTGCTTTTGGAATTAACCGGTTAATTGTTATCTGGAACGATAAAGCGGTAAGACGTCGTCGATGCCTCTTCATTTTCGTTTCCTTCGTTCCGTCAGCCGATATCAGGAGAACCGGCGCCGCGGCAATTAACGCTGTCAGCGGGCGCGATTCGAGGTCTGCGAGCGCAGATAGCGTGCATTCTGCCAAGTGAATTGGCAGGAAACGTATCGTCGGCGGTCGAGATATTTTCATTTTACAACGTCTATTTTTGCATCGTTGTATCACTCATCCCTGTGTGAAAATAAATATCCACCGACGGAAACGTAACCGTGATTCAAAACTTTGACTCACCACACCTTTGACAAACTTTTAAAAAAATGTTTCGAGTGACGACTCGTCTCTGGGATTATTATTGGGATTCAACGCGAGAGAAATAATATTTTATTTCATCTAAGGATTAATAAATATAGCTAGTTCGGTTAAGAGAATTTTTAGTATCGCTTTTCTTGGATCGTTTATTTTTAGTGAAAATAGTACAGTATGGAATTTGAGATTTTATAACAGAATATTCGATATTTCTTAAATGTAGATGTATGGATAATTTAATATTCATTTATCGTTCCTGCCCAAGAGAAATGTTTTTTTTTTATTAGTAGGTATAGTACATACCTGAAAGTTAGGATGAATTTATTATTTGCCGATATATTTTTTCGAAAAGCTATATATCAATTGTTGGTGACATTTTCATTTGTTTGTCGACTGTTGTCATAACTTATAAAAATTGACGTGATATTATCTTAGCGCGTCATGTACAATGTCATATTGTCACAGAAAGGCAATAGTATATGAATTTTTGGCCAAAAGACAAGTATAATAATGCTTGGCCATCCAACGTGCTCGCACTGATTTCTGGCTTCATAGCTTCTAAAAATACCAATGAAAGAAACAGTATAATGTTCCAACCGTAACAACCGTGACAAGGATATTCAAGACAATTCCGACAATAGAAATTTATTCTTGCGTTGATTGACCGTGCCAATGTCAACGAACATGTCAAAGGAGGAACGTTTAACAAGATGGATGATTTTTGCGAAATGATGATCAATCTTGTATCATTGTACGATTATTTTCTTCTCCAACCATTCTTTAAGAAGCGAATAATCATCCAAGAATTTTTAAGAGGAAGAAGAAAGGAAGGATGATTGAAAAATCTTCAACCAAATTTCTTTCTCCAAACTTCAACGAAAAATCAATCATCCACGAATCTTTCGGAAAAGAGAAGAAGAGGGAAGATAAAATTTTAACGCAATAATTTTTAATCCAAATCTATCTTTCTTCAAACTTCAAAAAAGCGAATCAATCCAATCATCCACGAATCTTTCAAAAAGAATAAAAGCAAGGAAGACAAAAAAATCTCTCTATCCACTCGAACATCATCAATTTCTCACAATTTCGCACGCGTCTTTCTTTCTTTCAAACCTTAATAAACCGAAGAAAATCGACTCAAGAAAAAGAATCTGCACGAGATGCCAAGCTTTTTTTCTTTTATCTTTTAAATATCAATCCAAAAATCTATCGCGAGGGAAATGGCCGCTTTTTAGCGCCTGTTATTTCGAGCACGGCCATTTAGCCCGTTTTCTTCTCTGGGCTGGCCAACGAAACAGGAAAACGACTGTGTGTCCAACAGGTGTCGTTAAGCCGGTTCCCTCGACCCGTAATGAACATTCTCTTTTATTTACCGTTCACCAGGCTTCGCGCGCTCCGCCCGATGACGTGCCTATTAACGTCCACGATTGCGTGTACCAACGTGGACAGACCTTTCTTATCCGGCCCCAACACGGATCTCTCGATTTTTATTCGACCGATAATACTCGTTTTTACGAGGCACGCGTACCATGATTCTGATTGGTAGCTCGTGTGATAATACGCGTGTGCGCAAAATATGGACGAGGATCGCTCGAATTTTCTTTTACCTTTCTTCGTCGTCGGCGTTTATATTTTTATATATATATATATTAATGATACAAATTTTCAGTGGTGATGGTATGTATATATTGAATAATGCTAATGAGATTGAAAATTGAATTTTACGTTATCTTTTCACAATTCGTTTCCAAGAAACGATCAAATAAGTTATACGGGGAATAAATTTTAAAAAAATTTTCATATCTTAAATGTCATGCCGGAATACGATTATTAAAATTTATCGGCCAATTGAAACCAATGAATTTCCTATGTCTTGCGTGGAGAATTCTTGATAATAATGGAATAATCATTTTCCAAGTATTTTGAAGTATTTCTAAATTCATTTTTAATCCCGTGTCATCCGTGTATCCGAGGATAGAAGGTATATATCTGTAAAAAAAAAAAATCTTTAGTCGTATAGCCATTAGAAATATCGAAGATTCTCTTGAATATCGATAAACGATAATGGCCAATGACTTATGATGGATCATTATCAAGCAACAAGCCAAGATTGTTGGTTTTATATTTATCGTCGTTTAGATAATTATCACTTAAAAACGTGGAACATCTGACATCCGCAGCAACGCTAATTATGGTGAATCTTCCTTACAGCCACGACAACTTCAAGTTTAACGAGGAGGCTCTTAAAGGTCGTTCTTCTTATCGGCTCGACGATAGAAAGTACGACGGGAATTGGTCGTATCTGTTCCATAATCGGTTGTACGACGTTGTAAAACACAATTTTCACGTATCTATCGAGCATTGTTCCGCATATCGAGTTTACATAATTTAAAATAAATCAAGAAAAACGCTATGTTTGTTACATTACTGCTAAATTACTGTTGAAGAATTAAAGAAGGGACAACGAGTGAACAATGGGAATGAAACTAAATGATTGAAACCCGTAATGAAAATTTATTATAGTTGCAATCTACTTTCCAGTAATCATCAAACTATTACTAATCGTACGATTAGATCAATTACTTATTAATATTGAAATATAAGAATTCAATTCAGAAGAAACAAAAACGAGGATTGATATTCATTTTCTAAAATAATCGGTAATTAAACTTAACTCATCTTTTGTTTCCAATCACGAACAAATATTCCTTAATTCATATAATAAAACGAGAAGCGTTCATATTCGAATAAGAAAAATAATTTTTCGTTGTTTTAACAAGATTGCAAGGATGAGCAGATTTCGTTTACGATCTTATCTAATCTTAAGAATCGTCTCTTGGGTTTTCAAAGAGATCCTGGATACGAGGACAACTCCGGGGGACGAGAAAATTCGTGACTGGGATAATCCTGGGCAGAGTGAGAAACGAGAGAAAAAAAAATACTGAGAAAGAAGAGAATGTCGAAAGAAAGCAGACAATTTCGAGAAAAAAAAAAGGCAGCTCTGCTTTCTAATCTATTGACACAAAGGATCCACTAATAGCGGAACCTTCCTAGAAGGGTCGAGCCACTTTGAAAATTTCGAGTTTTAAAAACAAATCCACCTACTAGTCTTGCACAACGACAAGAAGTTGTAAATTAACGACTGAAAAAGAATAGTTTGTAACTTGGAACTTTTCTTGTTCAAAGAAAATTCCTGCTCTTGACTCGAGGTAAGAGGAATTCTTGTTAAGAGTGGAGGGGAAACGGTTTCTTTTGTATAAAGGATCGTCGAAGGAAAGATATATATTTTTCAAGGAATGGAGTTGTTTCGAGAGAATGAAAATGACTTTTTTTCTTTTCTTGGAAAATTTTAAATTTATCGATATTCTAATCTTCAGATTATTTACTCATTTGATTTATTCAAATGTTCTACGATATGTGTATAATTTCACGTATTTGGAAAATTGGAAAAACTTCTCGAATACACTTTAGATATTAGAAAAATATTCATTCATTAAGAATCAATCTTTTCTAATTTCTAATTAATTTTATTTATTTATCAATTTATTCAAATTTCTCGTTCACATTATACGAAACGTAATCCGTATATCTATATCTACTTCCATCAACAGGTTTCTCCCATCGAATCACCGAGTTCACGAGCCATCATCGACGAAGCCGCCCGGATCCCCTTCGATCCCCTGCGCAACATCTGCTCTGATCATGAACGCATAAAGGCAAGAAACCGTGAGAAAGCACCGAATCGAGGGGCAATTAAGAGATCGGCGATCGATCGAGGGATCCACCGTTTCCCGGAAACGACACCGGTGCCGCAGGAAAACGGTTGCTGGGAAAGAAACGGTTCTCGAGTTAAAGGGAGAGCTCATGCGCTTGGAAGGTGCTTTTGGAGGTGCGAATTATGATACAAGTGTATTGCAAATCTTTTATTGCAAAAAATGATGGAGAAAATATTCCACGTGGTACGTAATTTTGTTACAGAACGAATATTTCGAGACGAGTGTAAATCTCTATTTCTCTTATTTTATTCTCGAGCCAAAGATTTTGGAAAAATACGAAAAATAATATTGAGAACTTAAAATAAAATAAAATCGTTGTCTACACGTTGTTTGAACTTACATAAAACAAAACCTATATCACGATCACACTGGACTATAATTTAGTGTCTAATTAATTTGCAAAAACGACTTTTTCAAACGTCTCCAAAAGGAATCATGCATTTGGCCACGGTATACGTAAGAAACCGAAATCTCTCTACACGTTTCAAGCTTAATTATCCGCTCATCGCTTAATTATTTTCCTCTCATTGTCAACCAGGATAATCAGCTCGCGATTCCTAAGCGGAAATTGCGGAAAGAAGCAGGAAGCGACCTCTCCGTTCCTCCTTGCTCTTCTTCGCTCCTTGCTCCATCTTCTCTTCCCTCTTTCTCCCTCTTTCTCGTTGCGCAACGGCGTGCATGTGATACCGTTACACGATGACAAGCCGATGCATCCTGGCTACCCGTGAAACACGTAGGAAGTGGAGAAAATGGAAGAAGGGGAGGAAGAAACTGGCCGATCGCACGATGGGCAAGAAAGAGGAGGGGGGGTAATTGGTAATATCGCCGGGAATAATGGGAGTTCTCGTTACGTCATATCCTGTAAACAACGTTTACGATTTGACGATTCGGTGGAAACAGCGGGAATAATCGTAATTTGCGGTGGCCAACGGTCACGCTTCAGCGATGGACGTTTTCCTACATCCTGTTGCTCTTGGCCATCCCTGACACGAGTTTGAACGAAAAATTTACGTACCACATTTACGGTACACGGAGAGATTTTTAATCGTAAATATCAGTTTCAAAAAGGGAAAAAAGCGTTTTACGATGTTAGAGAAATGTACAAAACACTCGAGATATAATTTATATAACATTAATATTTAGTTATGAGGAAATATTTTACTAGCGTTGATATTCTCGCCATTTTCTGGATATTATTTTTCGATCGTTTAGCATAAAAAACGGTGTGTAAACGTAAAGTTATTTAAAGAATTTATTATCTTTATCTTTATGGTTATATTTCCATACGTATTATAGATTCCAAAATTATTCTTATTATATGTCTGCAAAAAATGTTTTTACTTCGCTTTATTCCTCAAGAACGACAATTTTTCTTTTTTTTTTTTTCTTTTGTGAAAATATGATTTTCCTTCGAAATATATTTCAATCTTTCTTTATCTTAGAAATACAGGAAGGAAGAAAGAAATCGTGTTTTCTCGACGAAATCAAATACGATGGTCGTCGACAAATCTCGAGATTTTGACGGCAAGGCAAACAAAATTTTCACGGAACATAGTTTTGCAGCGTAGCGAGATGAACATGTTAAGTAAAATAGTTGTTTACATCGTCCAGAAAGGGTTAACCCGTGATGTAGAAGTTTATGCACGTAGAATCTCTAGAAGCTGGTCACGGACAACCTGGTATGAAACTTTTCCTTTTTAAAATCTCTTTCAAAAAAATGTGCTAGATTTTTCGATTCTGTTTTTTTTTTTCTTTTTATTTTAGAACGTGTCTGAAATGTTTGAAGGATACCAATCGAGCAAATTTTTCTTCGAATGTTAATAAAAAATTTCTTAACAAATTTCAAAGTACAATTAATGAGCGGTATTAATATTCGTGCCACGAACTCGATTGAAGACACTCGTCGAAGATGCAACATCGCGTGTCTTAATTGAAAATTAACTCGAAGACATTCGGCTCCTCTAAGCCAATATGTAATTCTTTACACGACCTTGCATGTAAAACAGCCGATATCTCGAGAACCGAGCATGCCTGTAATAGGCGGCCTCGAGACGTATCTATTTCTACGTTTATTCCGTACATGGCATCGATAGAATTTTGCAACAAATAACTTCCGTTCCCTACATACGCACAAAGGATCGTGCAACTTGATGGACAACTGCAAGCGAATGTTTTTCCAACCGATATTTACATATTTTCATTTATTATTGTCCGATCATTGTATTCCGTTTTTCCCACAATTTCCCTTTTAAGATGCATCTTTGAAAAGAGAGAACGATTCTTTTCTTTTCTGTACTTAATATCTTTAGTTGTTACATTGTTGCCTGAAATTTGTTATTTAATCATCGACTTCCTCTCCATTCACTTCCAATAGCCATCCGTCCACGTGTACATAGATTATTGCATTCGAACGTTATTATACTAAATTTTAATTATATTAACCTTGTATTTATATAATACACTGTAACTTATCATTTATCGGTTTATAAAACGAGGCCTTGCACAACGAATCGTTTGCAACGATTGATACCTCCATTCACAGATTATTGTTTCCCTTAAATTGAATCAAAGGAAAATAAAAAATTCATCGAGGCTCATAGAGACGTGTTTTCAACACGTCAAAATACGGGAATAATTTAGACACGAGGATTGTGACGAATGGATTCGAAACGAGCCAGTGTTCACGCACGATCGAGTAAAACGATTCTCAGCCCCTTGGAAATTGGACTGACACGTGGCACATTTTTCTCCTTGGGGGCCAAAAGTAGTAGCCCTTCCGAAATATGACGGAAACGGACTCGCGGAATAATTTTTCAAGTCTGTCGATCTCCGCGACTCTCGTGTCAACCGTTGCGAGAAACAATATTTCCCGAAACGGACGTATAAATCTCATAAATTTTCCTCCACCAGTTCAGCAAACTTTCCGTCGTTCCCTGTTGTCGCATTCTTCGAATAGACGGAATCTTAAATGGCTCTTAAATCAATGGCCAAAGTAATCGCGAATAAACGATATCTGGAGTGAGATTCTTTTCTATTCTTTCTGTCGAAGAGAAATGGAGATGGATGTGTTAAGAAGATAAGTTCATTTTTACTAGTCATTGTATAACGAAACAGAATAGAGTCGGTTATCTTACAAGTATAATAAGATGATACAAAAATTTTTACTTATTTTATGAAGAAACATCTTGCACAAATAATTGCAAAAAAATTAAATTAAAGAATATTTCTGCACTCTTAAAGCAACCGAATCAAGAGAAGAGAAATAGAAGAAAGAGGTTGAATATATGGCGATCTGGAAGGTGTTGGACAATGAGGAACGGCATTTCAAGAGAGCAACGAGTTGAAGAAACGTGGTAGTTTAAAACTCGAGGTCTTCGAGGTTTGCGTATACGCGGTATCGATTATCCAGAATCAAACATCCGGACCTTTTTTTACTCGACTCTCTTATTCCCGATTGATGTCGTTTCCCGGAGCGGCTCGCGAAGAAATTTTAATAAGACCCCCTCGAGCTTAATAAGATCGCGACTTTCCCGGAAGATCGTTAAAATACCTGGATGGAAACTTTTCACCGCCCCGCGATATTGATTAATATCGTTGAATCGTTGAACGATCATCGACTATTGCCAATTATCGAAAATAAAATGCCTTCTTTTTCCCTCTTCTTTGCGCCGCGGGGCTCTCGAGATGCGATTGAATGGATGAATACACGATGCGCTACGGGTAAAATATGTGTCACTGTTGGGAATTATTCTTTTTCCTCCCCTCTCCTCTCATTGAATATTTCTCTCGTCGCGATGAACGAAACGATATTGAATTCTCATTCAGTGATTTGTATAGAGTCTTGGAGTAGTTTACTCGCTAGAATATTTAGACGATCGATGAGAGAGTTACGAGAGGAATACGATGTATGGAATTGCGAAGGTGAGACATTCGCAATTTTGATTAGGAGGTAATAGAAATTTTGGAAAAAGCAAAGGTGTGACTTTTTTTTTTTACGAACTGTGTCGAGAGAGCAGCGAAAGTAATTTTCTCGAACAAATCTTTTGAGAAAATGATCGTGTGCACTGATTTGAGATTCTCGATTTCAACCCCGCTATAGATACACGATTTTCTCCACGGGACTGCGAGAGTTCTCTCTGTTTTTCACGGGTTCAACAAGTGGCAGGTGCCTCTTACACGGATCGAACAATGACGTGAAATGGTAGCGGAGGGGGATGGGGTCGGGGGTAAGCTCGATCGAGCCCGAAGATAAATCGTCCTCGATTACCATTTAGTTAGGTCCGCGTGGCGGATGTGTGTGTAGCAGCTTTTCGTGCCGGTCCATAATTCACGATCTTGAAAAGGACACGCTGGTGTGACGCTGGAAAATGGAGATTAGGTCGACGCTCCGTCGGGTAACGTGGCCTGAAAAGAGACTAAAGGAAAAAGAGAAAGGAGGAAGAGGAGGAATGAAACGAACACGAGAGAGAGAGAGAGAGAGAGAGAGAGAAACCAGGATTCACTGGTTGCCAAACGTTTCCTTACCACGTTCGGAACCAAGAAAAACTGGGCGTCTTCGCTCGATTTGCATATTTTTTTTTTTTTTTTTTTCTTTTTCAACGATGCGTCGCGCAAACAAACGGCCACCACGGCTCCATTCCAACTCGTCAACCGCTTGTTTTTCCACGATGGTGGAGCCGAAAAACCTTCCAACGACCACGTGAAACGCAAACAACTATCCCGGGCATCTCGACGGATTATGCGCATAATTTCTCGCGAAAATTCCTTAATTTCCCTTCGACATCGAGAACGAATTGGAGAATGGTGTAATTGGAAACGATGAAGAGATCCTTTTAATCTCGCCCCCATTTTCTAGAATAGATGAAACATACATGGAAAAAGTAATACAATTGTTGATCGCACGTGTGCCATTGTACTCGTTAAAAAACAAATTCTAAAAAGATTCTAATAATATCTTGTCTCTGAGCCATTCACTTTAACTGTAATACGAGTTGTAAGCAATTGCCATCCAATATATGTTACGAGAAATAATTTTTGGCAAAAGGTGGAAAGAAAGAAATCCTCGTATTTCGGTGAAAATTTAAAAATAATCTAGCTCGAATCCGAGCAATATACGATACGATAACAGACAGGCTGGAAGAACTGTTTGTTCCAGACGAATTTACGAGGAACACCAACAGGTGTCTTCTGTAATAATCTTCAACGGGCTCCGTTCACACGTTTCTGCCGATCCGCGGCCCACGCAACCTCTTCGACGAGGT